AAAAGTTGTTTTTAATTTTGTTTAGGAGGAATTTTCTTTTTTAAAGTATTATTTAGTATAAATTTTGTGGATAGTACTCACCTTATCAGTAAATAATTAGAACAATCTAAGTTTAACATTTATGTATTTATATATATGAACTTGATATTTTTGAAATACATGCAGCATTTAGTTTCACTTCTATTAAATGAATTCTGGATTCTTTTCAACTGCGGTGTCAGTATTAAGTGCAGTTTGGCACTATGTAAAATAAATAGAAAAACACTAGTACTGTAATTTTATTATAGTCACTACCCTGATGTTGTATATGAAATATGAGGGAAGTTAGGTTCCTTGAGGAAAAATGGGAATAAGTAAGCAAGAAATCCTCTTAATGATACCTTAATTTATTGAACAACTATTTCTAGTGCCGGCTCCAGGTTATGGATTGTTTTAGACTTTGGGAAATCAGTTGTGTCCAAGGTAGACAAAAGTCCTTGCACTTCTGAAGCTTAACTTCTAGTGGTGGAAGGATATTTATAGACCGCCTTCAGTGCTGGTAGAATTATTTGGGAATCGCATAAAGCGTACCTGGGGTGTGAGGGGCACTTTCAGGTGATGGGGATATCAGAACGAGGAGCATAGAAAGAAAAGACTCAAGCTTCGTGTGCTCCCCAGGATATTCTGAGAATGGTAATGTGAATGTTGTTCATGTGAAACTTGGAGAGACAGAAAATTGTTGAACAACTAATTTAGCACGAAGAAACAGAGGCACAGATTTAATTTAACATTGATACATTTTAATAATTTATCCAGGGTTATAGAACTCGTAAGTGAATGAGCTGGAGCTGGAATCTGTTTACCTGGTTCCCACTCACAATCATTTTACAGTGTCTTTTTCCAGTTTTTCAGTGAACGTTTGCGGTCCCCCGGTATTGCTGTCCTTTGCCAAGGTTGTGTTTCATCGACAGTGGTGGATTGGAAGAAAGACCTGCTTTCAGATGGGTGGGAGAAGCCTGTGAGAAGCACACTCAGCTCTTTTAGAGTAATTGGGATGAAATGGTTTTAATTAAGTGAGAATTAGGCAGCAAGATCATTTGTTTCTTGTAGACCATGTGGTTTTACACATTGAACATTGTGCTGGATTAAGCAGAACTTTTCTTTTTTGGAAGCCTAAACATTTTATTTTAATAGATTTATAGGTTCTATCAAATGAAGAAAGCTGAAGTTGCCTGTTGGGGTTGATGAGAAGTTTGGTGGATGGACCGGTGATTTTGTAGAATCCCTTCTGAATCCTGTGGTGATTTGAACAGTCAGCTGATGTTGTTTATGAGGTCGGTGTCTACTTGACCCCGTCCCATGGGGGATTCACTGTGCCTCAGTGGTCAGGCTCATGGTTTTATTTGGGTGTATTTTAGAGTGAGTGGATTGAGGCCTTGCCGACTTCCTCGAACCCATTACAATATAGAACAGAGAAGTTGGCTAGATAGTAAATAGTTTAGGCTTTGTTGGCCGCATAATCTCTGCTATAGTTACAGATGTGCCTTTAGCATGAAAGCAGCCATAGACACTATGTAATTGCCTGAACTGGCTGTGATCCTATAAAACGTTATTTGTAAAAACAGATAGTGAGCCACATTTGGCCCACAGGCCCTGGTTCGCTGACCCCTGATTTACAGTGATGAGGTCAGTTATATGGGAGAAGTTGAGCTCTCTAATAAACAAGAAATATTTTTATCCCACCTTCATCTTTCTTTTCAAACTTGTGGGAATTTGAAATTATAGTGAAATGAATGTGTCTGTTCAAGCATTGTACATTTTAACTTTGACATACTGAAGTCAAACAAAACGTGTTTTGATATATTCCTAAGTTACAGTCTTGTTAGGCAGCTTTCTGCCTTTGGGACAGAAGAAAATCTTTCATTTTACAAGCTCTTACTTCAGAAGAGGGTGCTTCATGTTTCATATTGTAAACACTTGAGTTGGAATTTAAACAAGACAAGAGGTATTGGAATATATTCTTTTTTAATCAAGCAAAAGTGAAATTTAAATGTATGATTTGGGTAGCTAATCAAAAGACTAGTAATTAATCAAAGTTGTTTTTTAAAAAAATCTTACCCATTTTTTATTTGGATAGGCTGTTTACCCACCTTATTTTTTAAGTTAATTGATGCACTTCCAGGTCAAGAAATAGTGTTTTAATGAGATGAAATATTACCCTGCTGTTAGTAATGAGGCTTCTCCAAAAATATGGAAATATCTGTGAACTAATGAGATGTGAGAAGAATTTAGTCTCCATGTTGATTAGAACTATATTAAAATATATATGTATACTATAAGGAGAAATTGCCATAGACTTTTTACCTAGTGTTAATGCAAGGAGATCTTGGCCCCTTTTTTTTATTGTGTTCAGGAAGTTTGTTTTATCGTAAGGTATGTTAAATATATAAACAAACATAATTTTCAGTAGGCATTTAGCAAATCCCTAGTGGGCTACAATATGAAATGAAAGCAAAAATTTTATTTCTAAACCTCAAACTAATACTTAGTGCAGTCACAGCATTTTAGCAGTTTTCATCAAAGAGAGTTTCTAGGAAAAGCAGATTTTCTTTGGTTACCCGAATGTGCACTTAAAATCGTTCTGTAGTTTTCTTTTGATCTAAACGGAGCCACTGGAAGGTAGCCTTTTCTTAAGTTCACTCCCGCACTTCAAGATCACTGCTCGTAGCGGAGGAGTCGCGTCCCTTTTCCTTGCCAAGGTGTCTTCCAGCCTCCTCTCCCTGACTTTGCTTCGTCACTGTTCCTTTTCTTTGCATCAGGCTCGTTTACATATTAGCTGCCATTTAATCTGAAAGTCATGCTATCTCTCAAGAGGCCCAGTTTCTGAATGTTAAACCTCTTTCGCTCTTTTTTTTTTTTTTTTGCTTAAGATTAAATATGTAACAAAACACCAGACCAATGTTGGGGCGTATAGCAGCAGTTATGCAATAAGTTAGAGCTGCCATTGTTGTTTAAAACATCTTACAGTTTCTCCTCTTGACTGGTTCATGCCCCTTTACCTACTAACTTGCTCATGTTTCTCTCTCCTAAAACACTTCGCTCAAACTTAGTTACCCCGCAAGTTCTAGCACTTTCTCTTCACTGCTATCAAACCTGCCATGGTAAGCTTTGCAACCTTACTTCTGGCCGTACCTTGATAAGTGACCACGCAGCCACCATACTGTGGCTTTGCCTTCATCTCCATTTTCGACCCTGTCAGTTTGGGGGCTGCCTCTTTTGTTAGTTTCTGTTATTCGGCAGGCCTGATATTCCTTGTTCTGTTTACTGTACGTTTTCTATTGGCTTCTCTGACTTGTCAGCCCTAGATGTTTGTGCTCCCCAAGGTTCTGCTGTTGATCTCTTTTATTCTCACCCTACACCCTCCCTCAGTGATCTCTTACTCCTGGGGCTTCAGATAGCCCTTCCATGCAGATGGTTATTGAACCTGCCCGATTGTTGTATGTTTATTGTATTCTAAGCTGCCCTGTTGTTGTAAGTTTAAGGTTTATATCTTGAGTGGTCAGCCTAGAGGAGCTGTGGGCATCTCAGACTCAGCATATCCTAAAACAGTGGTCCTCAATCTTTTTTGGCACCAGGGACCGGTGCTTTTATGAGAATCTAATGCCTGATGATCTGAGATGGAGCTGAGGCGGTGATGCTAGCTCTGGGGAGCGGCTGCAAATCCTGATGAAGCTTCACTCACTAGCCAGCCGCTTACCTCCTGCTGGGCGGCCCGGTTCCTAACAGACCACCAACCACTACTGATCTGTGGCCAGGGAGTTGGTGACACCTGTCCTAAACCAAATTCATCTTATATTGTTGTCATCCAGCTTCTTCAGATGACCCTTGAGCTGTTAACAGCAGCACCATTCCCTCAGCCACTCTGTTTTGGGGCCTGCTCCACATCACATTAGTTGCATTTTCTCTGGTTTACCTGTGAAAAGCATATTCCAGCCATTTGTGTGTGTGTGTGTGTGTGTGTGTGTGTGTGTGTGTGTACACAAATATCTGGAAAGAAATTCACCATAATGTTTAAAGTCTTTTTATCTCTGGCTGATGGGATTTTGTATTGTTTGAATTTTGTTTCTTTATAGTGGGTGTTTATTATTTACATACTTGTACCCAACCTGTAATCTTACTTCTCAACCCTCCCTTGTCCTCAGCTTCACCCAGTGGGACTCCGAGCCGTTTCCTCGGTTCACTCGTACTTCCTTGCCTTTGCCCCTTTACTCAGTGCCTGGTTCATCTGTTCTTTGCATTTCTCATTGTCATTTATCAGGGCTTCTCTCCAGTAAGCGTTAATTTCATTAATGAAATCCATCTCCTAGCTGAATGTGCTTTCTCCTTCCATGGGCTCCCTGGTCCTTATGCCACTTTCTATATTCTGCCTCTGGTTTTCTTATATGGGTTTTCGTGTTAATCCCTTCATTAGATTGTAAGCTCCATGAGGGCAGAGATTGGGTCTTACTCATGCTTTCTCCCTTTTGCTTACAGTCTCCCAATTTTTCCTTGGGGGATAATTCCTTTTCCCACTGGCTGTGCTGTTGGTGGGACGGACAAAGTATCCTGCCAAAAGGATGTTCTTTCTCTGGAGTTTGAATTTTGAGTCATGGGACACAAGGACTGACAATGATTGGCGCTGATTCATCCTGGCCAAGGTGCTCTGAAGGAGTCACGCTCATTAGTTCCTGCCTCCCAGATCCCTGAAGCTGCTCTGGTCCCCGAACTCTCCGAGGCCTTGTTCTTCAGATTTTCCTTCGTATCTGTGAGCTGTCTCATATCCTTATAATAAATGTCAGTTTCTCTCTCTCTGTCTCACCCTCTCGCTCTCTTTTATAATTTTAAAGATAGCCGGAGACAGTTTCTGTTGCTTTTACCCAAAGATTTCTACCAATAGAGCTATTATTATTAGAACTGACAGTTCTTATATTTATTCTGATGGGTTTTTTTTCTTCTTTTTAAAAACAAAACAAAACAAACAGCCAGAGACTGCTGCTGCTTTGAAGCGTACGCTAGAAGCCCTGATGGACAGAGGGGCAGTAGTGAGGAACTTGGAAAACCTGGGTGAACGAGCACTTCCTTATAAGATCTCTGCCCACAATCAAAAGCACAATAGAGGAGGGTAAGTTTCTTCGTAAATCACTTGAAAAATGTCTTTGATCAGCTCAGTAAAGAATACTGTTTAATTCATCTCAGAAGTTACTATAATTTCACAGTCAGATCCCTGTCGCGCTGGGTGGTGTCCAGGTATTTACCCTAGCAATGTAGTGTGGCAAATGGGAGGCACTTATGCTGACCCATAACAGACTGTAGTTGGAGTACAATAATAGGTCACGCTAGGAGCAACAGGTTCATAAGCTTTTGATTGTGGGAAACTTTTATCAACCCAAGCACTGTTTTCTCTTGACGTTTCTTTAATTTTTGCCTTGAAAACACCCATTTTGCCTTGAAAGACAGTGAACAACGTATTGTTCACATACTTGGTACATCTTTCGTAAATATGTAGGTTGCCGATAACACGCAAAATGTAATGCTTATGACTGATGTGTATAACCAGAGCCTAACCCACAATATAAAAATGCTTTTTCCTACTCAAGCAATAATAACAGTTTTCTGTGATGGAATTTTTTCTCCCATAGTGTATAGCAACTTTCTCAAACATATGTCAAGGATTTGATTCTGTAGTAATAACTGTCCTTCGTAGAAATTCTTTGAGACCACTTTCTTGAGTTGATACGAAGCTTCTCTCAGCACTAATGGTGTCTTTTTTATGCCGATGGTTTCTGGTTTAGAGGAAGAATCATCTCATTATTGGGTGTCCTGGAAGTAGGTGATAAAGAAGATAGGATTCTGTTCTTAGCATGGTGGGAAAGGTCCAGCAGAATACTCAGTTCTCTCTCTGGTACCCACCGGCTGTGTGGCCTCCAACAAGTCATCTAGCTTCTCTGATTCCTGCTTCCTTGGATACTGAATTGAGGTGTTGTTCTCCCATCCACACTGTCACAAGAATCAAATGAGATACTCTCTGCAGATGTGCTCTGTGGACAGTTACTGGGTGCTGCTTTTCGTCATGTGGAGCTAGTGGTCTTGTGCAGGTGCAATACAGTGGAGTCTCCCACTGAGGCTTTGTTAGTACATTTAAACCTTCTGCTGAGATGTGGCACCTACTGCAAATTTTATCTTTTGATTGCTTCACCTTGTTTTGTGCTAGTGTTCAGCTTCTTGAGAATACCTCTGAAGAGAGGGCCTGAGGCGTTGCTAGGCAACATGAAATGCACAGTGGCTATTCCTCTTCCACAGTGAGAGATGGAGATTGTGTGTATAATATTAAAAAAAAAAAAAAACAAAAACTCTACAAAGGAGCTCGGTTTTAACAGCAAGGCTATGAATCCTTTTGCCTTTTTGTTTAAAGAGGAGCATATAGAATTTGGCCAAGAATTACCAGTCAGGCCCTCCAGTGGAAGGCACTGAGCAGGGTGAGAAGTCAGTTTGCTCACACGTGTGCTTTCAGGGATAACAGTAGGAGTGCTTTCCCCTGCCCTTTGCTTTAAGTGGAGGATTTGACTTTGTCGAGGGTCGGTGTGACCAGCATTCTAGAATTTGCACTCCTCACGAGTGCCCGGGTGGTGCTCATGCTTCTGTCTGAGGACCACACTTTGAGAACCACTGTATGAACTCATGTCGTTTTCAGGCTCTGTGTACCTCCAGTACTAGGGTTGGGTGGTGCTTTTTCTCTGTTATAGATGGAACAAATGCAGATCCTGGAAAAACCCACCTGGACCTAAGCCAGAATTGCTGACAACACTAGCCTTACATTCTGATTCCTGACAAGGTGCTTGTGCCCCACCGAGGACTGTGTTGCCGTGTTCATTTATATCTGAGGATTTTTTTTTTTTTTTAGATTCTTCATCTTGAAATACGTTATATATGGACACAGAAAGGTGATGCCCAGCCCCAATCGGGGACTTTCCTGTTTTGAGCTTGTTTTTCTGGGATAAATCAATGTCTGGTATTTATTTACACCTGTCCGTCGATTTACGTGGATTTTCCGTTCCATGCATTTTTCTTTAACATGGAAAAAAACTGTGTAAAGAGTCCACCAATATTAAAAAATACACTAAAGAAATAGGCCAATATAAATCATAAAAATATTTCACATATTTTTACAAAAATGTTAATGAAAATTTAGGAAAACCAAAATAAATTTTATTTGCTGTCGGTGTGTACTGCTATATAAAGCAATCAACCTCTTTAACTGGCACAAAGTTAACTATATTTATCACTTGAACTATTTGGAAGTACTGCTTCGGTTTCATTTTTATGTTTATGTTTTTGGATGATCTTTTTCCTACCCCATCTTTTGCCAAGTTTTTATAAATCCTTCGATATTCACCGCAACATTTTAAAAAATCTTTTTGAAATTTTAAGGCTCATTGGATGTTTGGATCAATATCTAAAATTGCAGTTTCCAGTATGTGGTCAGTTGAAGAACTTTGTAAATATTTTCTGCAGTGAATGAAACTGGTTCAAGGTCACTGCTGTATTCATCGACAGGACGGGCTTCAGATATTAAGTGAATGAATTCATTATCAGTTAATTCATAATCAACCAGTGATTCGTTAATATCATCTACATTCAAATGGTCAGAGCCTTCTTCTTGAAATTTATTTAATAAATTAATAATGCCACTTAATTCCTCTTTAGTTGTTGGAACCATATTCCTTGTTACAACCACTTCTGGCCGTTTTGCTTTTCAGCAAGCATTTAAAATTGATGGCTTTATATCACTTAGAGCCAAAACAATATTCTTGATACAACTTAAAGTTGTGTATTTATTCCAGGCTTCTGTAACTGTAAGTGACTCATTATCTTCAAGTTTATTATTAAAAATATAGTTAACTTCATTTAATGTCATTAATCTTAAAGGTAGAAATAATGCCTTGATCTAAAGAGTGGATCAAGGAAGTTGTATTTAGTGGCAAATATACAGCTTTTATATTTGGATGTTCTAAATTGTGCGGATGACCAGATGCATTATTTAAAAGTAAAAGTATTTTAAAAGGAAGACATTTTTCTTTTATATAATTTTCAGCTTCTACAGGAAAATATTTGTAAAACCAATCCCGAAAAACATCAGTAGTCACCCAGGCTTTTTTATTTGCCATCCAATGAACGGGAAGATCATTAATAATTGTGTGTTAGTATTAGTTCTTTGTACATTGCTGAGTTAAGCTATGGGTTTTCAGAAAGAGTAATCACCAGTAATGGAAATGAAAAAGAACAGTAAAATGAGACCTTGTAAATGGAAACTGCATATAAAAAGTCTGTGTAAACAGAGGGAGTGCTTACTGTGTATAAAAAAATTCGCGTAAAAAAAATACCGCGTAAATCAAGGGATAGGTATATATATTTAAGGTAATGGTTTCCAAAGTATGGTCTCTGAAATGCTAGTTCTGTAGATATGCTCCACCAAAAAGCATGGGGTCTGTGTGTGTGTGTGATCAGCAGGACATGGGAAGCTTCGCATGATCTAATTCCTTCTAGAGAGTCACAGCACATATTAGCAAATAAATGCTGAGAAGCCCTTCATTCAGATGCCTTCATTTATCAATTTTATTTGACCATGTTACTTTTTTTTTTACACTCATTAATATTCTTCGTAGTGACTTGGTAAATGAGATGAGAGGCTAGCGTAGTTTGGAGTTACCTAGGGTGAAGATTTATAATTGAGTGGTGTGTCAGATGTCTGCAGTGTGGAGCTTAAGTTAGTCTGATGTTCTCTTGGCTTCATCTAGTCCTCCCATAGTTGATAATTCCAGCGCCATTTGTACCAGACATTTTGTTAATTAGGCAGGTTCTTCAAGTGCATTGCACATAGCCACAGGAGGTTTTGCAGACGTGTATTAAACAGACGATGTGCCAGGTTGTGCTGGGTGCCGAGACGGCTCACTTTTATGAAGTTAAGGAGAAACAGAGTAGACTTGTCCCTTACGCATTTGTTAGCATCCAAAAGATGTTGACTCTTTCTGAACAGCTGTGGAGGCCATGACATGTTATCTGTAATTTTGGTGGGGCACTGATTTGAATCCTGAAGCTGGTGCGCAGGAGCCAATTTTTTTAGCTGGCTAATGAGTAAGCCTGGATGCTCTGCAGGGATGTACATTGCATTGTGGTGCTGTTGGTATTATGTTTGTTGCTTTTACATTTTATAGGAAGAAATTGTATGTTCTAGTGATATTCCTGGGGCTCAGGATCGTTTTTGTGATTGTCGCGGTTGCCGATGTCGAGTTTTCAGTGGCTAAGCTAGGCACCAGCCAAAGGGGTGTAAGGGCAGGCCCGAGCTGACCACCACACATCTCCGCTGCAGATATTTCCTGTCATGTCGGGTGATTGCCTCTGTCATTCTCTTATCCTCGCCTCCTTCCCCGACATCCGTGCCTCTGCTACACACATGCCGAGTAGTCCTGAAAGAAAAACGAGGGTAGAAAAGAGCTCAGGTAGTAGAGATCCTACTTTAGGGTTATCAGGGAAGGAGGAGGAAGTGGTAACTTGAAAGTGATACCTGATGTTTATTATTATATCAAGTCTGCTTATGCAGTTTGTGTCAAAAAATATAATTGTTGCAGTCCAAACATTAATTTGGCCAGTCCCCGCTTTAGAAACAGGTTACATTCCACAAATTTGTAAGTCTGTTGTTTATAATTGGGAACCTATTTTTTCATTGGAACAACTTAATGGTAAGTTCTCACGGTGATCCACAGAAACTTTTCTAACTCATAATCTCTGAGGATCAGTAGAATCGGGCGAGTCATTTTTGTACAGCTGAGCACCATTTTACAACTTGTTTTCAAAAGTGCTGCTCTGCGTTCCATCTGGCAGCAGAGTGGAGCCTGAGTCGGGTCACGTTTATCAGGGATGGAGACACTACCAAACACCTGTAACTTATTAGTAAGACTTTTTCCAGCGGAGTCACTTCCCACGTCAGTTGTCCCCCAGATGATGTGAATTCAGGAACAGGGAGGTGTTTCCCAGATGCCCCTGTTGCCATTTGGGCCAGGTTGGGGTGGTTGGGAATTTCTAGGCTTCTGGACCAGCTTTCCTGATGGAGGCTTCCAGCTTGAT